CTGTGAGCAAATTTAGTTACTTTTCGAAAACTTTTCCAGGGTGTTTAGATTCTGAAATATTAAAAACTAAACAAACTTAAGTATGTATGTATTCACTTTTCAAATAAGCACTGCACTGGTAAATAACTTTGAGTTTGTGAATGAAATCGGAATATATAAAAGTCTAATTCCGATGTAGTTTATTAATGGCTTACGCCTCTAGAACGCTGATAATGATTACTTAATTTTGCAGTATGCAAAAAGTAAACGTTTTAAATAAAAATAGTAAGCAATTATTTAACGAAAAAAAATAAAAAAAGATAAGCAGCCTGAGTTTGCTGATCATTTACACCCATGTTGTTATTGTTGTTTTCAATATGACTGTTTATTTTTTAAATAAACAAAAGTTTATTTATGTTTAACAAACACATCAGCGTTTGTTTATGTGCTTACTGTAAATACTGTTTTATTTATTTTATTAATTTTCTAATTGTCGGCATCCAAATTAGAAGCGTAGTGCGCTTTCAAGTTACGCTGAGATAAATGCATAGGTAGTAAGTATTGATGCATCTACTTTACAAATATCTGATACACTAGAATCAGAGTGTGCGTATGTCCATATGTATGTTTAAATGTGTGTCTTAATGTATGTCCATAATCGAATTAAATATATATACTACTATTACTACTATTTTGGCGACTACGCTTTAGCTAAATGTTTGACCGCCCCACTCAGCTATTTTTTTTAATTCGAAAAAGTAAGTAATTACAGAATTTAGAAATCGTAAATGCAAAAACTCCTATAAATATTAAGCTTAATTTTTTTCTATACAATGCCCCTGACTGATCTTAAAATATCTCGAAATTTTCAAGGTGTTTTCAGTTTTTTAAAAGATATTAATTTTGGAATTTTGAAAAAAAAATTATAAATCGCATTTCCAATTACATTATTTATTATGTTTTAACATTAACTTCTTTTTTATTATTTGGTTTACAAAAAAGACTTCAAAACTCAAAATTCCTTATCTTTAAAAAACAAAAAAAAAATAAATTTTTAAAAATGTCTGGATATTTTAAGATCACCTCTTATTATTCAAAAAAAAATCTTGGGAATTTAGTTTTTTTTTTGCTTCTACGCTTTTTAAAAATGTAATTTTTTTTTTGTATATGGCCCGATTTATCACCTTCCAAATGAACCTAGAACCATTTTTGGTAACTATAATAGTTTCGGAGATATTCAAAAATTACCGTGCAAAATTCGGGGAAATTGATAAAAAAAAATTGTATCTGTCGAAAATTTCAGCCCAACCAAGTTGTATAATTTTTCCGTTTGATTGATCACACGAAAAAATTTTCCCACCTACATACATACTCGCACATACTTTGTAAACCCAAATTCATACAAAATAAAGATGCTTCAAATCTGACTTAATTTCAAAATTTGCATAAAAAATGTCACTGTCTAATAGCCGATTTCACCAGCAATTTAAATGGAAAATGATATTTTATTTTCTGTCAATTTCCATATAAAATTCAAAAAATTAAAATCCTTTTGCATGTTTTATAAAAATAAAAACACAAATAAATAGGCCTACAGTTTTACGCCGCGGCAGGTGATTTTTTACGAGCAGCTTTTTCGTGGTGACAGAATTACGCTCAGCGGTCTGCCATTGCCATCTTGAATGTGAATCACGCATCACTAATTGGCCCGGGGTTTCATCGGTTCACGCTCCTAAATGTCAATCAAAGTCCATCTTCTAAAATAAGTATTTGGATTTATGATTTCAATCAACCGAAATACTAAATGTCAAAAATATGAATTGGGTCACCTATTTTGACCATCTGTCAGCTAAATGACAAAACTGTCAGTTAGGCAATCAGCCGGAGTGAGTCGTACGAACAAATCAACAACACCGCAAGACATTTCACACTCTCTGAGTAATTTACCTGTCTCGCGGCTGATTGCCAGCTGCTGAGTGTTGACTGTCAAATGTGATTAATTTTAACTACATAAATATGTGAGCCACAATTTTTCTATGAAAAAAAAAAACAACAAACACAAAACAAAAACAATTGAAATTTAAAATGTGCATGCATACATACACACATACATATGTGTGTACCTAGTTTTCTTTAACTTAGACTAACTAAACTAAATAATGGCTTAAATGGATAAGTGGTTAAGCCACTTTAGGTACTTAAAGCTTCTGGGTGGAAGCAAAAAAAATAAAAAATTAAAGCAAAGCATTGGCAATAACAACAAATGCAACTGCGGCCTAATAAGTACTTAGTTGCCGCTGTAAAGTGAGAATAGTTGTGGCAATTTCAATGGTTGCAGTTGAATGAACACCGTGACCGTTGATTTTCATAAGTAAATGTAACTTAAATAACATAAAAATAAAATAACATAAAGAGGTGCGATTTAAGAATAAAAACAAAAAAAAACAATGTTTATTTGCATTAGTAGATGACTCACATGCTTTTCTAATTTGGAAGTTGACTCAATACATTGTCATTCGTTAGCTGAAGTGGTTGCGTATTTAGATAGACTGAAATTTGTTCTTTGACAGAAATTATTAATTGGGTCGATCCGATACCCATATTTCCAAGTGAAGTCCAATAGTAGTTAAGAGAGCTCCCTCTCTCTCTTTTCTTAGTGCTTTTACCTCAAGGGTGTCTTCTCTGGGCAGCATGACATTAATCGCCAGAGTGCGAGTGGTCCTAAGCGTCCCACTGATTCCAATGGGGGCTGCTGGTTGCACACTCTCCAGCTTATTATCGTAACTCTAGTGCATTCCGCCAGTCGAGGACTTTATACAACATAACGGGCTTAACTATTGTTTAATAGAGACAGAAAATAACATTGGGGGAAAGGCCCCATCTCTTATTGCCCCACTGAAGCCTTGCTTGCCTTCTCGTCAATACTGGGATTCCGCGACATCTTCCTTTCAAGCATCAAACCCAAGTACTTTCCCTGTCAGAAAGTGGGCGTGGGATATCTTATACTTCTTAGTGGACAAAATGTGTTCAATTTTATTAAATTTAAAGCAAGTCCGCAGTTCGTAGATCACCATGTCAGAAGGTTCAAATATCCTTCAGTTAAGTCGTAGGGGGTATGAAAAATTATCCCCTCACTAAAAATGAAAGCGATCACCTGCCTTCCCCTACTCGCCAACTCCAGAGAAGGAGCGAGAGAAGACCACCTTTAGGCATCACCATTTAACCCTGCGCTGGACGGTGGCACAACTACACTCCGCCGCGACAACTCTATTATTATGCGGTGTATGAGGCTAACGAGATCAGTGTTGATCCCAAGTTAACTCAGAGATCTGACTTTTGCTCCTCTGCATCTAGAAAGTGTCCCACAGTGAAGTATTATGTAGTAAGGCTTACTCAGTTAACCTCACAATTGTGTGCAAGGCGGTCTCGGCCGACCTACCCTTGATTCGGTATGCATGTTGGGTTCCCTACAGGCGATTATGGCCTCTCCAGAGCTTTAAGCAAGAAAGAGGCGAGGCTATTTGGAACCAGCCAACAACATGGCATGAGGAAAATGAAACGGATGAACATTTTTTGCGTCCACCTTTGAAGGAATTAGTAAATTAATTAGTAAAGCAGGCTCCTAATGTGAGACTCACAAGGGACGCTTGGATGCTAAAGGCCGGCACTGGATTAACCATTACGGGGAAGAAGTACTTATCACCGCTTGGCGGAATAGTATTTACCTCTACATATTACATAAAACGCAACCGATCCTCTGCTCCGCTGTTAGCAGCTACCACTGCTTAGAATACTTTACAGAAATCCGGTAACCTAAATTTAATAACTAATAGTAAGTATGTAGTTCCTCACAACGAGAATCACTCTTACCAACAAGTGCTATTTTGGACTGAGTAGGCTATTGAGAAGTACAGTCATCGCTCGTCGTACAAAAATCACACCCTATAAGTTATTCATCATGCTCGTGCTGGTGTATGGCGCGGAGGCATGGACAATGAAAACAGCTTGGAGTTTTCGAGAGAAAAATTCTACGAAACATTTACGGACCTTTGCGCGTGGGCATTGGCGAATACTGCAGACAATGGCATGATGAGCTGTATGAGCTTTAAAATTACATACATATTACATATATGTATATAGCCGAGCGAATTAATATACAGCGGCTCCGCTGGTTTGTATAAGTCGTTCGAAAGGACACCGACACACCAGCTCTGAAAGTATTCAACTTGGAACCCACTGGTGGTAGCAGAGGAAGAGGGAGGCCCCCCACTGCGATGGAAAGACCAAGTTAAGAAGGACTTGGCTTCACTTGGAATTTACATTTGGTCAGTTGGCACAGAATAGAAGCGACTGGCGGGCTCTAATGGACGCGACCAAAACCGCTTAGGCGGTCACAACGCCAATAAAGAAGAAGACGAAGTTCCTCACAGAAGACACTTCTTTTCACAAAACAAACACATAGATCTTTTGAGTACATTATCCAACATAAAATTATTAGTTGGTTATTTCACTGGTCATAATCACCTGCGCCCTTTCACATGCACAGAGACGAAATGCCGTCTTTGTCTTGGACAAGAGAAGACGTCGGAGCACATTGAGTGATCATCCGATATTGGCCAGACTAAGCCTGCAAAACCGCAGTCCTTCCACAGTCGATGTCCTTAATATCAAGAATTCATCCACCAAGAAACTGTTAGCTGGCTGATATTATCTATGGCCGTCAGGGTCTTCTAGGTCGCGATATCCGTTGTTTCTGTTGCACCCACTAAATCCAGATAGCTCATTGCCTGGATTCCAGGACCGATATATTCGAAAAAATCTCATTTAGGGTTCAAATAAGTACACGTATTACAGATAAAAGGAAAAACGACAATCTACCAATAATGGACGGAATGGGTGCCACCAATAATAATTATGAGTTTTGGATACAGTGGGAGGGAGTGATAACACAAAAATATACATTTTTTTTTGTAGAAAATAAAACGGCATACAATATTGCATACACAATTTTGGCCACTCACCTTCGTCAGTTCGTCGCAATCGCTGCTTCTCCTGCGACGCACTCATTAACCAACATTTCGCAGCATCTGCTTCAATCAGCTCAACGCCAGCAGACGCGTCATCAATAGCGCCGCCAACCAAAGGTGCCGCCTCACAGCAGCTGCGTTCGCTCATTTTGCGTTGCACTACTTGCACTTTAGGTGCGAAGCTCAGCAATTCTTGACGCTCAGCGGCATCTTGGCACGTGTAATTGCGATCTCTCGACATCGTGGCGTAATACACTTATTCTATTAAAAACTTTTGTATTACAATTTAATCGATAACACACTTAACGCTTTTGTTTTGATTACAGATATATTTTTTTTTTTTTGCGCTTGAAGGCGTGCACAATACATACACTCCTTTGCTTATCAATTATGCATGCGATTCAAATGCGCCGCTTAAAATAGCAACAAACAAAGGTGAGAAGAGGAAGCTCAAGTGGCGCCAAATTTATTACATACCATCACTGTTTTCATACAATTTGATTTATTTTATTTTTGTTTACTTTTCACTCAACTGATTTATGTTTAATTGCGTTCGTGCATTGGGTATTCATTTGAACAGTGTAAAATTCTAAAATTTTGTATTTATTTAGTATGCCACACGTGCGTCTGCGGACGCGCATATTTATGCCACAACAAATATTGTATTCAACCATTGGCGGCAGGCAGACAACGTCACTACGACGACAATTTGACGACAATTTGACACAGTGACAACGATTTATTTGCAGCTAAACACGCAGATTTCATTAATTAGCTGCAATTTTTTTTTTCTATTGCGCTCGCTTTTGTTTTTGTTGTTGTTGTCGTTGTTATTGTTGGTGCTGGTGCTGGTGTTTGCTGAGTTGCATGCAAATTAGGTTGCCGACAAAGTCTGAGCAGCTGTTCCCCTTTTGCTGTGTTGTTGTGGCCGATCATAAATAACAACTTCAACAATTGGATCGTGTAGCTGTCGTTTAATTCATTCATTCACAAATGGTGCTGAGCTGCTGACGTCGTTGTTTCATTTACATTTACATTACAGTTTCGCGGTGGTCATTTGAATATTAATTACACTTACATATTTCATTTATTTTATATTGGCATATTAGGGTGTGTCACTGCTGTTGAGGTAAGCGATATATTTATTTTTAGCTTTTATTATTAGACTTAAATGTGGCTGTGCTGGCAGAAAAGTTGCACTGTGCTGTGAGTTATCTGGCGAAATTCACAAAAAGATTGCATACCGGACTCAGAGAAAAAGACCTCTTGAACTAGATCAGGTGAAACCACACTATTATAAATTGTAAATAATATGCCTGAGAGGCCGACCATATTTAGATATTCATAACTGAAATATTTTCTACTTCGACTGTCTCTTTCCTCACATACTGACTTAGAATGTGATATCATGCCAAAAATTGACGAGGCGGCTACAAATTTCTATAGCTGCATTCAAAATGAACAAAGATGTTCTTGAAACAATTCTCACAGAGAAAAACGTACAGACTTCCAGTAGTAAGATCTGGACAGACTATTGGGATTTGGGAACATAATTACGTTCTGAAAAAAAAAATTAATTGCATTAAATTCTGAAGAATTTTCTAATAATAAATATAAGACTGCAGACTAGCTCTTCCAGATACGATTCGAAATTCATTTTCGCTCTCTGCTTCAAGGAACTTTTTTTTTTAATTGTTACCAGCATAATTAAACTACTAACAAAATTTTTATCCGCCCAAATACACACTAAGCATATACTTACTACAAAGTGGCCACGTTTTATTGGCATAAATGTATTGATTTATGATTTTTTTTTATCATTAGAATTCATTATTGAATTTTTAAATTTTTTCCTGAATTAAAAAAATTTAATTTAAGTTCATTTTAAATAAAGTGTAACTAAACTTTATTTTACTTTTTGTTTTATTTATTTTATTTTTTTTCCTTATTTTAATTTCATTATATTTTATCAGTCCAAATTTTTTAATAAACTCAATTTATTTAACTTAGTATTTTTATTTAACTTTTTGGTTTAATGTTTTTTATTCTTATTTTTATTTGTATTTACTAAACTAAAAGTTATTTTTATTTAATTTTTTACTAACTTTTATTTTATCTTTTATTCTATTCCGTTTAATTTTTTAACTTCACGATTTCAAGAGACAAAGTTTTGATCCGCCCTAATATACATTAAGTATGTATGTATGTACCTACATACAAGGTTTGCACGTTTTCTCGTTTATTTAATTATGTTGATTAAATTTTATTTTAATTTATTTCAATTAGAATTTAATTTGATTTTATTTTCAATTAAATTTATCTAATTTTATAGTGATTTCTATAATATAAATTTTTTCATTTGGTTTTATCTTATTTTATGGTATTTTATTTTATTTTATTTAAATTAATAATTTTATATTATTGTTTTAAATAAACTACATTTATTTTTAACTATTTTTTGTTTTAATGCTATTTTATTGACATATTTATTTGCATTTTCTTAATTTTTCATTTTATTTTTTATTTCTTTCTATTTACTTGTTTTTACTTCTTTTTATGTAATATAATATATTATGTCTAATTTTTTGTAAATTTTTGTATTTATTTTATGTTAAAATTTATGTATACTAAATTTAAGCGGCCTTTAGTTTACAAAAATATTATAAGGGATACAGCTTTGCGATTATTTCTTTATTATATTATATTAATTTTATTTGTTTTACCTTAAAAAAAAGATTTTTGTATTATTTATTCCTTCATAAAATTGGTTCTATTTTTTTCGTTTCTCTCTAATTCTTAAGTAATTTTCAATTCATCTCATTTTTATTTTCAAATTGCATTTTAATGTTTTCCACCATACACCCTATTCTTTGCATTCCAATTTTAACAACTGCATATGTAGTTGTTTTTGTACTGACTAAAACTAATTAACATTTAAGCATACTGATTTCCCACGCCAATCCAATGAACTCATTTGGCCCACTGCCGCAATTTTTTTTTTTTTGGTTTTTTTATTATACTTTTTGCAATGCCTCAACAAGTGACGTCTATAGCCAAGGGAATGTATATATGTATGTATGTAGAAAGTTGTATCTAGAGGCCACCGTCTCAGTGCCTGTCTCGTCGTTGTCTTGTCGTCATACTTAGTCAAATTGTATCTGTGGCAGTACGTAGGCGTTAAATTGTTGCATCCGTTCTGCCTCATCAACTGCAATCGGCTGATGGCGACAATGCAACTACGAGTATCACTGTGGAAGCACTACGAGTATATTGCATATTTATCTGTGATACATAGATTCGCGTAGTACTACATGATATCTGCGCAGTGCGAACACTAAACATGCATATGTATGTACATTAGGGTTCATCACTATACATACATACAATTAAAAATCGGTATTGGTTTTCCATCGGAATTTTAACATTTATGTATTACATTCTAAGACTTGCGCCAAAATATTTTGAAAAAATATTAAAATTAACGTATTTGAAAATTCATTAAAATTTTTTTTTTTTTTACTTAATAAAATTAGGTTTTAAAAATATTTTCCAAGAGATCACATCAAATAATTGAGCACTTTAAGCTTGAAATATTTGCATAAAAATGTTTAAACATTTCATCCACGGAATCAAAATAATGCGATTTTTGTAGGTATTTTCAAATCTGTCAAGATCACGTAAATCTTAATATTTTTCCGAAATATTTTGGGCGGAAGTCTTAAAATATAGACTTTAAAATTCTGGTGGAAAACTCGCAACTTCTTTGATGATGCATCCTAATGTGCTCACATATATGTATGTATGTATTAACTATTCCAAATAAAATGCACATTTATGACTCAAATTACTTGAAATTATTTTATATATATGTACGTATTTCGTCTTAGATTAATTGGTAATAGGATTTGAAAAATATTTTTTTGAGTGTATATTTTTTCGTATTTATGTTTTATTTAACGTTTTTTACAATAACGATTTTTTTTAACTATAAACGCCTTAGAAGCACGAAATGTGCATAAAGCTAATGAAAATCGGCCGAGTTTGGAATTTTTAGGAACACTTTGCTTTTGTTAATAGTTTGTTTAAAAGTGCAACTGCATAGTTTTACTAAGCGGAAATTCGAAACCCATTGATATTTGGCTAAATTTTATTTTATACTTTCATTTCATTTTCATTCTAATTTATATTGGAATGCAAAGGAAAATTTAAAATTCGATCAACAGAATAGGCTGATTATTATATACATATATGTATATATTGAAGGGCAGATATTATAGCGATTAACAAATTATATGCATTTATTTATAATGCTTGTATAAATATATTTACATATGTATGTACGTGTTTATATGTATGTAATATGTGCATAGTGTATGCAACTCATCTTCTAAAACGCTTAGAGGGCCATTTCGTAACTCCCAAATGCACAATATAGATAACGTACACGTGGATGATACCGCTCTAAACCGCGGCAATTAATTTTTTGGTATTAGTTTTTATTTAAACAAGTGGCGTTTTTATTTTAACCAGCAGGTATGAGTGTAAGTAGTCCAAATAAAAGCCAATAACTGGCATTATAAACTTAAAAACTAACACCCAGCATATCTATATATATCTATATATGTATCTGTATAATACGCGAAGGGATTTTTTGTCCAACACATAAGATCTGTACCGTTCGCTCGATCAAAGCGCTCGGCCTGTAGATGTGCGAACTGGTTTTATTTTTTCGAAAAGAGTTGCCACCTGTTGAACAATTTAATTCAAATTATTTAAAATGTGCAACAAGATTTTACTTTTTTGAATAGAGTTGCCATCTTTGAAATAATTATCTTCTTATTGTTAAAAAAAAATAATAATTATTACAAAATGGGTATCAATCGAAATGGTTTTGAAATGCTTAACAATAGGATAGTTGCCACGTGTTTAAAAAATCAAATTCGATTTGAATTAAGGAAATTAGGTAAGAGAAATATGTATCACCATGTGACGGTGACTGAATTATATTGATGACTTTTAAAAGTAAAAGTCACTGACCGATTTTTATTGATGACTTTTGTAAATAAAAGTCTCCAATAACTGTTATCTAAGAAATATAATATAAAAATCAAAAGTAATTGTTATTTTTGATTTATAATATAAAAACCAAAAATAATTCTTACTTTATTTAATTTTGCATAAAAATTGCAAATAAAAATTCATTTTCAAATTTGAGGTTCAGTGAAAACAGATATCGATTGGTATGTGTAACTTAGTTGTAGAACATTTCCTTCATAGTGAATTTTTCCAAGACAGTTTTCATCAAAATAACTGTTATATGTTCGGTCCCTGGTAGTATCGATTTTGGGTATTAAATGAAAATATATATATATATATTTAACTTTTGAGTCTCCATAGAAGCGTTTGGCGTTTTACACCCTTGCGACACGCCTTAAGCAACTCCAATCGGGACCAAAATTTATATGTGAAATCCTCGAATATGGTAGAATCGACTTTGGATATTAGATAAAAAAAATAGTTTTAATTTTTTGAGTCTCTATAGAATCTGAACTTTTGCCGCTGTGCGACATGCCTTAACTGCCTTCAATTGGGACCAAAACTTATGTACGATATCTGTGACCGTGATATTACCGATGGAGGGGGTGAGACTGAAAACAAATTTTCATTTGATTTTTAAGGAACACCCTAATATACGTAATATTTTTATTAATTTTTTTTATTTTACTTAATTTTTCATACTGCAGCAGGATATTGATTTCAGCAGACTATATATTCTCCTAAAAAAATGTATGAACTTATATTATTTCCTTTGCCATACATACTTTTTTCAAAGAATGCACAAGAGCAATTTTTATTTAATTTTATCATTATATATTTTTTATACATATTTCCCCCAGTATTAACAAATTGCTTTCCTACAGTCACGAGTAATCAACTTTAACCAGCCTGTCTATAATTGTTTAGAATTTTACATTAGCATTTTCAAATATTTTTGCACTGATAAGCGTTTCAATTTAGTTTTGAAAAAAAATCAGCTTATTGTTGCGTGTTAACCCTTCACAGCACTTCACTTCTTTTCACTTTTTATCACTGCTTGTATTTTCTTATATTGGTTTTTTTTTTGTTGTTGTCTTTTTTGCAATATTAGCTCAAATGAATGCACTTGTTGTCAGTCA